GCTGGTCCGGCTCTTCTACCTGGACGAGCACAGGACCTGCATCCGATGGAGACCCTCCAGGAAGAGCGAGAAGGCAAAAAGTAAACTGCTCTTATTTCTGTTATTTCTGGGGCAGTTCAGAATAGAATGGGAGTTACAGAGGGATAATGAAATAAATTATTTTTGACGCTGCTTTTAAGGAAGGCCAGCGTAGTTCAGTCAGATGTGAGCATTTTCCAGAGCTTCACATGAATTTTGAACAAACCGAAGAGGACCTTGATAACTGCTGAATTCTTTTCAATGTATACATCACAAATTTAAATACAGAACCTAGAAGAGTTTAGATTGAGGTTTGTTAATCCTAACTGTGATCCTTTTCTTCAGCATTATTACATCTTGAAGTGACTGTGTAGCATTATTTCTCACTGAAGCCGTTCCTGCTGCACTGTCTTAAATTGGAAATGCAAATCAGTGGTTTATTGAATACAATAAAGACTAGAATTCATCAGAGCTGTCAGGGAGCCTTGAGATTAAAAACCAGCAGTTGGGAAGGCTCCAGACAGTGGCAGTTGGCGCTTGTGTGCCCGTGTGTGTTGCTGAGGAGCCGTTGGGTGCCGTGGCATCAGGAGCCACCGTGGCATCAGGAGCCACCATGCCCCAGCACAGCCCTGGGTATCCCAGACTCCTGCTGAGGGGAGCAGGGCTGTGTGGGAGCAGTCCCCCTGGAGCCAAGCAGGGGTTCACTGATGGATGGGAGGCATGTGGGGCTGTCTCCCTACGCTCCCCTTTCTGTCGCCTCAGCCCTGTGGTGTCGCAGGGAGCGCTCGGAGCTGTGCTGGGACTTGGCACAGCCAAAGCGAGGAAAACCTTCCAGTCAGAGAGGGCTTTGGGATGTGAAGATGTAATATTAATAAAGTTTAGCGACTCCTAGCCTGAATAATTCACAACTGTTCAAATCAGAAGCAGGTTGGCTGCTCTCTGAGCACGTCAATTTTTGTTTCCTCTTCTCCCCACAGTTGTCATCGATTCCATTTACAAAGTCACCGAGGGCCGGCAGTCGGAAATCTTCCACCGCCACGCCGAGGGCAGCTTTGACCCCAGCTGCTGCTTCACCATTTACCATGGCAACCACCTGGAGTCCCTGGACCTGATCACCTCCAACCCCGAGGAGGCTCGCACCTGGATCACGGGGCTCAAGTATTTGATGGCTGGCATAAGCGACGAGGACTCGCTCGCCAAGCGCCAGAGGACACACGACCAGTATCCTTTGATAGCCGGGGCTCCAGCTCCTCATTCCCTATTCCTGGCTTGGTCCTTAGTGACTCCAGTGTAGGGTGTCCTTTCACCTCCTATTAGGTGACCAAAACCCTCCCATTGATGGCAGTGGAAACTCGAGTAATGGGTTTGACACGGACACTTGTACGTGAGATAAAACATCGACTGAAGTCAGGGGATAGTCTTGCTATTCTTAATGAAATTCTTCTTGAAGAAGGTTATTTCTAGTTACCACAATACATACTGACCCCAGGATGGTTTCAGCATTTATGTCATCTTCTGTTTGCCCAACTGTGCTTTTATTCTTCTGCTGCAACTTGCAAGGTCCCTTAAAAGACACTGGTTTGAGGACGGTACTGACTGAAAACTAGTACAGGTGAAACCCTGACATTCCTGGATTCTTTCAGTAAACTGACCAGTAACTCTTGGCCATCTCCATTTCTTGTGGTGTGAGTCAGATATCTGTGGTCTTCTCAGCCTGCACTGACTGTCAGGAGCACAAATCTTGAAAGAACCTTAAATATTTGTTGTGGCCCAGTAATGAAAACGAACTTCACGTTCACTGAATATTTTCTTGCTGTGCTCTCTTTCACAACAGTGCTGTTTACTGTTATACACAGAGAACACTTCCCCATCACCAAAAATCCCCAAACCAAGCTGTCTCAATTCAAATTGGAACTTGTCAATTCTTCTGCCCCGTGGAAATCTCCAGTGGTCACTTGTTGTCTCCTCCTGGAGAATATATACACCGTGGGTATTTTTAATTTATGTTTTCAGTGCTAATTCGGATCCACAGTAGGCACAGATCCATTGGGGTTACTTTGCACGCTCTGTTGCACATGTCCTCAGCTTGCTATATTTAACCAGCACTTTCCCAAGCTGCTGTATCTGCCGTATCTTCTCTCCTGATGAAACATCACTGCAGTCCTGTTTGTTTTATCAAATGTGGCAGCTGGGAGACTGCTCACAAATGACCCTGTACTGGTTCCAGCCAGTGTAAGAGCTTAGCAAGAGATGCTGAGGGTCTGTGTGCAAGGAGGGGGTGAAAGGGACTGGTGAGGCAGTGAAGTTCAAGTAGAGTGAAGGGAGAGGTGGAGAAGATACCAGAGCAAGCCCAGCAGCATCTGAGAACTTTAGAGTGCCCTCTGAGAGGAGAAACCAGTAGCAGAAATGGGAGTGCAGAGGGGCTGCTGTTGTGAACCCAGATGTAAGTGCCATAAACCAGCTCTGCTTTTAAACATTTGGCTGAAAATGTAGCAAAGACAGGGAGGGGGGAGAAGGGTTATTGCCCTGCCCAGTGCTCTGGCTCCCTTCTCCATGAGGAGATGGCCCTTTGGAGCTGTCCTTGACGCGGCTGCAGCTGGGTCAAGCAGACCTTTGAGGAGGCCGACAAGAACGGGGACGGGCTGCTGAACATCGAGGAGATCCACCAGCTCATGCACAAGCTCAACGTCAACCTGCCCCGC